AAGGGGAGGGCCTGCTAATCCATTGTGCTCTGCACACGTGGGTTCGAATCCCACCCTCGTCGGGCCTTTTGCCGCCACCCCCCGGAGCTGCGGCTAAGGCGTGAGGTCCTGGGGCAAGACGACGTGGCGGGCTGCCGGGGAGCGAAACCAGCCTCTGCAGCACCGCAGCACTGGCCCCAGCCCGCAGGCTGGCAAACCCGGGCATACTTCACACAGGTTGATAGCATCCTGTACCAGGAGCTTTTGCGTAGCAACGAGGCGGACGGCACATTTCAAGCCACTAAAAATTTATTACGTACAAAACACATTTACATCAGATGGTGTGAACCACATCCCAAAACATTTTTGGGTTTTTACAGCTGAATTCCAGGTAATCTGAGCACATCAACAGCAGCACAGGGGTAAAGCATGGCAGAGAGCAGCACGCAGGCTTCGCTTTGCATGCAGTGAAAGTTAACGCAACTCAGCATGTGGCATGAACAGCCTCAAAGCATAATTTCTTCAGTTCAAATTTCTTATTTCAACTTAATATTAACCTACTATTGCTATTCTAGGTTTAAGAGAGATAATACAAATGCTATTAAAAAAAACACTATAAAATTACTTTTTTAGAAGGTAGCTGACAGATTTGGACTACTGAGAGTTTCAAATGAAATTAGAAGCAAGTCAGACAACTCGTCTCTGGCAGGCAAGTTAATCAGCGTTCACCCCCAAAGCTGCAGTAATTTGTATTTCACCAGGCAGAAGTTTGAGAAAAATCTGCTGATACTGTAATAAAAAAAAAAGATTACTTGTACAGGAGTACTGCAGACATGAAGTACATCTTCCTACTATTTACTGGGAATCAATATTAAACTAAAAACAAAGGTCTTCAGCTTTCAAAGCCACAGCTTTTTAAATACTGGAGAATGCAGGTGATCTGCTCTTCCAAAATAGGAAAATCGTTTCTCCATAGCTGTTTACTGAAACAAACGTCCTGCTTTCCAGCACGACAATTAATCTGTAGAATAAGCAACTCACTGGTTTTAATGCCGTAAATATTCAATACAATAAAATTTGGGCCCAGCAACACAAAAATCCTGCTGGATTTGCATCGAGCATCATTAAGTACAAAATACAGCCAAGTTGTTGCACCGACTCGAGAATGACAGTATTGACATTCCTGGGCAGCAAAACAGCAACTTCAAACTACAGTGCTGCTGCAAGGTAGCTTCTGCATGAAGCAGGCGAGCACAAAGCTGGGACAACATCTCGGGGACTGTGACTATGGAGAGCAATTGCTCTAATGTTCCCAGGGGCCCCTGCTACCTTATAGTTTTCTCCTGGTGAAGCTATGTTTACCCAATGAGAGCTGGTAGAAAGAAAAAACCAGAGTGTCAATTTAAGGCTTTCCAAGAAAAGAATGACTCATCTCTGTGCCTGTGAAGCAGAAAAGGAGGGAGGCCCAGACCAGGCAAAGCTCAGCAGTGAGCCAAAGGGACACAGCTAGCCACGACACACCGTCTCTGTGCAAGGCAGCCACATGAGAAGGACCCAGGCCCCAGGTCTGCTCTGTTCTTCTCCCAGGAGGACACCTGCTTTTTCTGGAACACGCCCCAGGGGTTTATCTGTTCAATCACCCAGCCCTGGATTTCTTTACCAAGTCTCTTGGTCTGCACACGTGTCTCACCTCTGCTCAAATATCCACCATGTCCACCAGAGCAGATAGGTGGAGCTCGGAGGCAACTTCACCCTCCTTGCTCGCTCTGAGGAGCCGCTGCAAATGTTTCAGTCTATCCGACAGTGTGGGGCTTACCTCCTCCACCAAAAGCTTGCATCCCTCTTGACTCCCAGCCTGGGCAGAAAGAAAAGAGATGAGACCAAGAAAGAAGCATTACCCAGTACCAACAAGGAACTTCTCAGCTCACTGGCTGTTCCCCCACTTTTGAAAACAACCATGGAGGTCAGCACCCCCCACCCGAGGAGGTAAGGCAAAAATAGCATGTTCTGCTATTTCTGTCCCCAGCCTTCCTTTAACTGGGGGAAATTGACCCACAACTGATGGTTTCCTAAGCTAAAGTGCAGCACCACAAGGGATACTGTTATGACTGCCAGCAGCAGAAAGCATTAACACCTGTGAAGAACTCTTATTCCAGATCTGCAGAAAGCATTCCCCTCCCTGGAAAGAAGTTATTTCCAAGGCATAGTTTTTCAATTCTTTATTTCCCAAGTCTATCCAAAACTGCATACCAAGGTAATTCCCACTAAAGGTTTTGTAACTACAGCAGGTTTGGCACCTGCTCTCCTCAGAGCTACAGTTAATTCTCAGTACCACCCTTTCTTACCTCTCGAGCAGATGACGCAGGACTCTTCATCAACGGACAGGTGACAGTTGGGGTGGAGACCAGAGACTGGGGGAGGTAGAGAGGAAGACCTACGAAACCACCAAGGGGCTCAATGTCCTCAGATAGACATTGGTGCAACTGTTCTTCAAACCTGGACAGAAAGATCAAGAGCATCAGTCAGATTGCAGCCTAGCTTTGTTCTTGTAACCAGTGGGTTAACCAAGAGTTTTGGGTTCAGAAGTGTCTGCAAGATGTTCACAGTCATTTCCAACATGGTCTGACATACCCCACTGCTATGACAAAAATCCATCGTAGAAGGTTGTGGTACAGAAAGGAGCCACACAGACTGAAGACACCCAACTGATGGGGAAGGCAGCAAAGACAAGAAACCCTTGGGCCAACCTCAAAAGCTTTAGTTCTTCAGCTTTGTGCTCTGCATTGCTACAGGCACCAAACTGACATACCAAAGTGGATTTTATAGACATTTGTGATACTGCAGGACACACAAGACTACTGTACACACTGTACTGCTTTAGTTTTGGTGGCTTGATTGACCACAGTTTCCAACCGTTCCTCAAAGCTCCAAGTATTTCTACCATCCTGGACTGCTCCTGTGATGCAAGTAGGAGCTAACAGGGAACTACACTGATGTGCTTGGTGAAATTAGATGAAACTGGAGATAGTCTAGGCTGTTTCCTAGCACTGTTGGACTTCAGCTTCCCATTACATACAAGTTAGAAATTGTTTACAACTACAATGGGACGGAGCTGCAAGGAAAGGATAGCTGCTCTGGGAACTTACCTCCTGTTCTCTAGTTTCTCCAGTTGCAACTGTGCCAACAGACGCTCCGGGAGAAGCTCCTGGGCCGAGGCTGTGTCTGTGAATTCATCTGCATTGGGAATGCTCTTTTCTTGACCTGACAGCGTGCTCATGCCAGAACCGTATTGGCCTGGCATCATGGAGATGATACAGGGTTTCTTAAAAGAGTCGGAAGATTTTACCCTTGACCTGAGGGGGAAGGTTTAAAAAAACAAACAAACAAAAAAAACAAAAGCACAGAAATTGGTATGAGCATGTTGATTTTTCCCTACTGGCTTGAAGTTTGGAAATAGCAGGGAGTAAGAATTGATCATTTGGAGACATAATTCCCTTGTACCAGGGTCCAACATACCACCACCTGTGTGTGGGATTTGAGAGAAACTAATCTGACAGGGGGCTGGGATTGACCCCAAAGAAAGTTATCTACCCAACATCTCCTGCTACACAGCAGAGCAGCAGCTAAGCTTCCAAGAGGGAAGAGAGATGGCTTCACTCTGAACAAGGCTAGGGAAGCGAGCTAGACCCTTGAGATCTGAAATACTTTAATGCCACACAGCTCTAAGGCACCCTCCCCCCTCAACCTCCAGCGTTTTATCTTAGCAGTGGGACTTTCCTGATGTATTCCCACAAGTTGGGAACAAAGCCTCCTTTTGAACTCAGCATACTGCAAAATTAACATGTAATTATTAAAGAGTAAATCTGCAAGTCATCTAACGTGTAATTCATCTGTCAGGTCCAGGCTGCAACTGAAGGTGAATGTAAGGGAGAGGGCACTATTAAATAAAGGACACGCCCATGATCTATCCCTATGCTCTTCCCCAACCTCACACTGTTTTTCCTCCATGCTTTGTGTACCTAGAGTAGAAGTCTAATTCCAAAGCCTCAGCAGTGTTTTCTTTGGCAGAAGTTAATTTCTCCATTTATAATACTTTAAGCACCCTCCAAGTAATCCATTTCTTTGACAGCTGAGTAACCCTGCAGAAATAAAATCTATTTACTACCCGGTTTCAGCACACCCTTGTACATCATTTCAAGGAGATGTACACAAGCATGTTCTGGGAGGATGCCATATGCTGGTTTTCAACATCGTGATGGCACTGTATGTTCATCACAGAGGCCCCAAGCAACCTCCTTGGAGTTCACCGAGCAACTCTGATGGCACAATGGGCAGCTGAATGCTACTCCCACAGGCAGCGCCAGCAGCTGCCTCACCTTTTGTGGCCTTGCCGGATCTCCTCCTGTGTGCGCAGTCTGGCCTGTTCCCATGAAAAAGGGAGAGTGAAGTTCTTTAGATGCTCCTTGAAGAAGTACACACGAATCTGACCATCTTCACTTACTGCTTCTGTGAATAAACCCAAACCCAACGTTTAATATTAGAACAGATTTTCCCCTTCAGAAGAGAAGCTCAGTATTGAAAAGCCAATTTGAAGAATTGTGCGTTCACTTTCAAGCAGCTTTAAGTTGTAATCTGCATGTAAAAAGGAGCCTCCTTGAACTCATTTACTATTCAACAGATACCAGATTACTGGGAAAGACTGTAAAATGCTGCTTTATCTTCACTTAAAAAATTCTAGTGCATCCAAGTTCAGCGTTCAGTGAGCTAAGTAGTCATTTTATTAAAAGAGGCTCCCTACAGTTAAGACAAACAGGGCACCAAAAAAACCCCACACACTTGAAATTGAAAGCAAACAGAATCCAAGACAAACTTCATTAAGCCATGAAAGCGCTCATTAACAGTGGCAGCCTGCCATCTCAGCTGACCTGAGCTTACATGACTTCTGAGGGGCCAATTCTTGGCCTTTGATTGAATGTAAACCCTCTCCTACTGGGAGAGGAGGGCTGAAAGACTCTGACCATATTCCTCCAGAGACAAAATTTTTAATCACAAGCTCAAGTCAATCAACACTAAAGACACACTCCAAAGAGCAGAAAGATGTGCAGCAAGCAGTGTCATTCTACAGGAGGAGATCAAGACCATAGCTCCCTCTGGGCTACATATCAGTTGCTGCCACGCATAAAGGCACCACTGTCAAGTTATTAAACACAGTTATGCAAGAAGTATCATCCATGTCGTAGAAGGACACAATACCTGGAGCAATAGGCAGTTTGGGTGGTTTCCAGTCTCTCAGTTTATGATCAATGCAGACTGCCAAGATACCATCCCAAGGGATCTCATCAACAGAAGGTCCATCTTCATCAGAGTTCCCAGATGTTCTGTTTTTCCACTTCTGGTAAGTTTTGCTCAGCAGATTCTCCACTTGAGACTGGATCAGTGGTTGAGTATGGGAAGAACTAGCAATCTGAGACACATACTGAAAAATCATGTGGCAAACAGGACGCCAAGGAGCTATGGAAAAAAACCAAAGTAAATTGCAAGAATTTGTGACAGAGCCAAACTACCCACCTTACAGGCTGATAGTTCAACACAGCACAGACACATCAGAGAGAATGATGTGCCGCCAAGAGGATATCGCAGCATAAGTACGTACCACCTAATGGAGGCAGATCTAGGTAAGGGATCTGGAAGGTCAGCACAGCCTTCTTCAGCCAGGCCAGGTGATCAGGCATGTTCCACTGCAGGTGGGGCAACAGCTTGTTACCCCCAGGCTCTGCAAACTCGGTAACAGGCCAAGACAAGTCACAAAGGTGCTCTGAGGATGCCGCATCCGAAAGAAACTGCAGCACGCTGTTGTACAGCTCTATGATGACCCCAGGCTCCTGAGATGGCAGGCCAGCTAAACGCCTCTCCTTCCAGTCATGGTAGAAGCGCTTGCCAAATTCACCATCAATCCCATTCTCGACATACTCCCGAAGGGTCTGACTGCAGAGCTCAAGGGAGTCAGGGCATTGGGAAACCAGCCAGCCCACAGCCGCAGAGATCTATGACACACAAAACATGGGTGGTTGGAGTCTGCTCCGCAGTGATCAGGACACAGAGGATTCAATCCTGAAACCCTAACTGATGTAACAGTATTCAAGATACTATGCAGCAAAATACAAACAAATCAACTATCATCATCCCGGTATTTGCAACAGTAATTCTCCAACTAGGTGGTCACAAACTAAATTCACCGGCAGCAGGCTCAGGAACAGACAGAATGAGGCTGTTCACACCAGGTGCAGTTGTGCTGTGGAATTCCCTGCTGCAGGATGCTGGGGATGCTGAAAACTTATCTGGGAGAAATTGGACAGATTCACAGAAATTAGCCCAGGGTGACTATATCCAGAGAAGCCATGTCTGATCCTGGCAGTCCTTGAACTGCAAAGAGATGCAAACTGTGAGGGTTCGTGGGGAAGCATCACTTTGGGCTTGTCTTGTTCTCACCTTGTTTCTCAGGAGCCTGTCAGGGAGAGATCCGTACAATCCTTCTTTCCATATGTGAGAGGACAGAGGCATCCCTCAGTCCCATCCACCAAAACGGAATAATACTGGGTGATCTCACAGCAGCCAGAAGAGCTACAAAGGGTCCTTTGCATTTTAGGACTGGGACCTTAAGGGTACAAAAGCTTACCCACCACTAGCACTCATCTGTTAGGCAGCAATGGTACCTCTGCTAGTCAACACAGGTGGGACAGACAAGAATGGATTTACATAATCCACATATTTTTGTCTCAGTGCAGTTTTCAGTATTACACAGAAGAAACTATCTTTTATGTAGCAAATGCAACTGATCTCTAGACAGTTAAAATAGAACAGTCACAAATAATGGAAAAGTAGCAGAAATATTTCATTTCAGAATAGTTCTGGCTGACGTCGGAATCACTATTAACAAGTGAGTACCCAACTCCAGCAAATTCAGATGTGTGGAAAAAAAAAGGTAAGAGCTTTTTGAACAAAAATTATGTTACAGAAACTTCAACAGAAAAAATATCCCACTACACAAGACTCAGCTGCAATTTAAGCTACTGAAAACATAATAATTCCTTATAAAGCATTAGTAATTGAGAGGTTAATGATAAACCAGCCAAGTATCTCTTCATGTGAGTTGCTGTTCTTACCCTTCTGGTGCCTTGTAAGTCATTGATTGAACCTGGGAGCTCAACAATGGTGTAGTCTGAAATAAGCTGGGCTGAAATCAAGTCCTGGAGCATCAAACCTTAAAAATAAGAAAACTTGCCATATACCAGTTTGTTCTTTGTGTATCTCCTACTCTGACCTAGTCTCACACTCTGCATATATTCACAGCATTACTTCTCTCTTCCATCTTTCCCCACAGACTCTCAGGATCAAATACTGTGTGCAAAGGAAAACTGGAAGCCAAAAGAAAGTTCATTTCTTTCCATATTGATCAGTTCTTAAGACCTCTGGATTTCTAGCAAAGCTTTTAGAAGTATTGTACTTCACAGTCTCTCCCTCTACTAGACACTATTTCAGAGACTGCACTAGCTGCAACGGTTCTACTTGGGGCAGCTCTAAGCATTCACATTGTTTTTTCAAGGCACAGAAATAATCACGTACCTTCTTCTACTTCTTTCTCTGTGGCCTCCTCTTCCTGACTGGGGACTAGAACCACCAGGGGAACTATCGGGTGGAAAGGTTTGGCCTGAAGCAACTGTTTCAACTGCAGCAAAGCTGAAAGCCAATAAACATCATCTTCTGCAACATCTTCACTCCTAACTCGAGGGGGCAGAAGAAGAATGAGACCACTGGTTCCAAGCAAGTCTTTCTGCATCTCAGCTGTATCAAGCTCAGAGTCGGACAGCGCACCATGTGCCACCTATACAAGTTACAAAGATGACAACAGTAATGTAGCTAAAGTTACATGAAGCTATTTTCATACTGAAATCTGCAGTTTACTATCATCAGCATTCAGCTTTGACATTCGTTACCAGCAGCTCTACAAATCTTAAAACAATAAGTTATGAGACAGACAAACATGGATGTATCCAACAGATGCAGGTGAGCACAAAAGTGCACTTCAGCACCTGATTTGGCATCAGGAATTGAGATGATTGAGGTTCTAACTATTGCACTGTATTTAGGCAGGTATTTACTTGGCTGACTAGAAAGACAAAATCCATCTTTGTCCAGGCCTTTTCAACAACCCCATCCCTCCCAGTATCATCTCCCTCCGACGGGACACAGTGTGAAAAGCCTCCGCACAACATCCACTGGAAAAGAGCACACCCTGCTTTTATAGCCTGTTAGGTATGACAAAATTGTTCTCACCTACCTTTACACACACACTGACTTTAATACTTGTGCTCCCTTGTGTGCCAGGGAAATTAAATAACGTCAGTGTTTGAATTCTGCCTTCTGTATGTGAAGCATTTTTCTTCCAGCTTTTGTCTCCCATAAATTTGGCTTTCAACCAATCCACCAGTACCCTAGCAAACAAGAAAGAGTGGGCTTTTGGGGGGTTTTAAAAAAATGGCATTTTAGGGTTTTAGTACCAACACCTCTAAGACACCACAATCTATCATAACCAACCTTCATATTGCTTGGAATTTGCTAAACGGCTATTAAGTGTTCTGAAATTCTCCACACATATCTCAAGGTTTTCTGTTTTCAATACGAGCAAAAGGAATTCAGTGAACAATGTCAGGAGAAGATACAGACCACTGCAATAAGTTACAGCTATATTCTTTTAGAGTGCTCTGGAGAAAAAAAAAAACCTGGAAATTTGACATGGTGTGGGAAAAACATACATCAAGGACTGTATACTACTACTCTTCCTCTATTTGACTGCCCTGGTGAGAAAGGGACCTATTAATCAACTCTTACTTACCTGTTGGGATCATCCTCTGCATATTCATCATCATTTGGCAAAACCAATAGCACCTTCCAAAAAACCTGTTCTTGTTGAACTGGAATATGTTCAGTGATTAATGAGACAAGATCCAGGGGAGTCCAAGCTAAATCACTTAAAGAGAGACAAAAGCTGGTGAAAAGACCCCCTAGTGATCATTCCCACCTGGGGAATGTTTTTCTTGCTCTGAACAAGTTACAATACTGTAGTAGCTACTGTCCAGTTCAAACAGTACAAAATTAGAGCTAATTCTTTATATCTGTTGCCCAACTATTTCACCACAGACCAGATGCCTTCAAAAATTGCAGCTGCTAAATCTGTTACATAAGCCTTACTTTGGAGATTGTGACCATATGTGTATTGCTTCACTTCCACACTGCTTCAATACCCTGCTCCAATAAACACACAGACCATTAGAGTGCATGACAAGCCATGAGAAAGCAGACCTCCTGCTGCACTTTAAACATCTAGATCAATCCCTTTGTGCCACAAGCCAGGCTGTTAACAGCTCATTTACTCCTCTCCCCCTATACCCTATCCCAGGCCCCATCCCACCCAGGTACAAAAAACACTAAAACAAAGCATAATATCCATCAGATCCTTAAAGTTACACCCACGGCAATAGGATCAGATGGCCTAACGCCTTCATGAATTTATCTTCCAATTTGCCTTATCTCAAAAATACTCCCAGAAGCAAGGCTGCAAGCGGACACTTGAGTAGGATTTGCCATTCCTTACTGACATTTTTGAGATCTCTGGCATTTCTGTTACAGTTTGCTTAGAAAGAAAACAAGGATCAAACACCAACGTACCTTAACAATTGCTGGTAGAAGTGCTGAACTTTAATTTCATGCACAGTCTTGTTTCTCAGCCAATTCAATCTGGAAACAGAAGATTCTTGGTTGTAATTTTTGGTATAAAACAGGTACTTTAACCAATTAAAGAAACACTAAGACCTGAGAAGTACTGCAGACACTTTAGAAAGTTGCCGTTAATGGAAGAAGGGTTTCTTTAGGTTTGCAGTCTTTGTCATGGCATTTGTGCAGAAAGGGTCTTTTTGGGGGTATTGGAGAAAAAACAGTTTTGCAAAACCATTAACATTCACAATGAAGGTTCAGAGGGCTACTTTGTAACTTACCTTCCAAAAATCAAACAGATTGCCAACCGCTATCACTGTAAGTACCCTTACCTCGTGCAAGAGATCCCCAGCTTTCCTCCATTCCCCAGGTTTACAATTCTCTTGCACAAGTTCTCCATGGCTATAGGCCACTCAGCACTGGGGGACAGTGCTTTCAGTTTATTTTTTGGATCTGCGCAACAGGGAGCAGCTGGAAATGCCCTCATTTGACGTTTCAACTTCGTTCGAGCTGCCACTGCCTCCCTCCACCTTTGGAAGAGAATAGATAAATAGGTCACATTAACCTGCACACCAAACAGGTTCTCATCTTTGCTCTTCAGACTGGATTGGGCTCTCAAACACCCCACAAGTCACACTCTACCCAGGGGCAAGTGTGAGGGTGGTGCATGTGGGTGGTACAGCAGGCTCAGGCTGTATTTCTGGACACAGCAGCAAAGTCAGAGCTCAAACAGAGCATGCACAGGACGAGACCTACCAGCTGTACACATGCAGTGTCCAAAAGGGGCAGCCTTGCGCCCCATTAAAAAAAAAAAAAATGCAGACAAAAGGGAGCAGCCTTCTGCTTAGCAAGCTGCACTTGCTCTCAGCAGCCAGAGAGATCACAGGAGGGTAGCAGGATTGCCACTCTTCCATCTTATCCCTTCCTTAGCTGTCCTAGCTGTGCTCCCCAGGCAGAAGTTCAAGCATAGTTTTCCTTCCCCATTATTCAGCATGTTTATTCCTAGCACAGAGTGTTTTACAATGATCTGTTATAAAGCTTCTCTGATATCTCAAGCACTTTCTGAAAATACTTTTGCAACACCTATTGCAGTACAAAAGGTACGCCTCTTTTTTTTTGTTCTGTTTTTAAGGAACATTTAAAAAGGCAAATTCACCAACAAGGAGAGAACATATAATAAAGCCTTTATCATTAGATGCTAGTCTATTTTTCTATGATCAAATGATTCAAAACATGTACCACCCAACAGTTTTATAACACAAAAATTTATGAAGTCTTTTATCGTGTTTCCTCAGGTATTTTCAGGGCTTATAAGAAAAAAAATAAACATTCCTGCATCATCCAGTTTTCTTGACTGCTGCATGTACATTTGTTTCATGTATCTTTAGGGTCCTCCTTAACATTCCCTATAGCACTGAAGGAGATTTACGCATGCCCTGAAGAAACACATGAAATCAGTTTTAGGACAGAAAGAACTCTGAAAGGGAAGGTGCTCCACAGTGAAGAGACTAGCCTGCTGCTTCCTCTTTAGCAGTGAGAAGTGCCACCTGAAACGCACCTCAACCTGACTGCACTGGGGCAGCACAGCACAGGGAGAAACGAATCTCTGCCCTGGAGCACCACAACAGCCACTGAACACTTAGCACACATCCAGAAAAACAAGAATCCAACAGAAAGAATACAAGGAGAAATTATTACAAGTTTCTAGATAGAATGAAGCTGAAATCTCCTACCAAGCTCATTACCTAACTCCCCTCCCCACATATAGCTGAGTAACTTATTAGAGGCTGGTAATAAGACTGTAAGTCTACCCTTATAGTGGAGACAAGACGACAGCAAAAAGAATGGCAAACAGACAGCTGTAGTTCAAACTCTATTAACCACCCCATGCCAATGCTCCCAAGAAAAGCACTTGTATCACAGGGTGGCAACTCACCGTTGCAAGTACTTGCAGAAACACTGGAGCTCCTGAAGGGTTTCCTTAGCAATCTGGAAAATCTCATCCTCCAGAAAGAGGCCCATGACATGACCACAGACTTCTTCTGAACACCGGGCAATACGGGCTTGCTGGTCTCTTTCTAAGGCACATCTAGTTCAAAATGAAACAAACCAAGACCTCTAGTGAGGTGGAGACTGCAGCAAGTGCCAATATAATCAGCTGAGCTGCAAACAGGAAAGACCATCACATTTAGCAAAGGGATTTTCCACACTTCTACTCCATGGCCCTTCTAAGTAAGACCAGTAATCAATGAAGTCATTCAAGCTTTACACTGATCATGGGCTTCCAAAGAAGGGTCTATAAGAAAGCCCACAGCTGAGCCATAAGGGAGTCAGAAGAAAAATAAGCACACGGAGCAGCCTTGTCCTAGACAGAGCCTCTATTCCCTCCATCATGGAAGACCACTCCTGCCTTACACAGTGCGACTGGCAGCCCGCTGTACGATCAAGTACACTTACCCTCTCTTTAAAGTAGCTTATTGAAGATGAACTCAGAGAAGGCCAAGCAAGAAGCCCACCACTCCCTAACAAATTCTTACCCTTAGAAAAGCATCCCACAGCAAAGTATAACATACAGTATGTTGTACGTACTTTAACTCATTGGCTGAAGCTTCTCGAACACTCTCCTTTATTACTTCTTCCATTAACTCCATACCCACCACATGGCTCAACTGCTTTATTAACTGTTCTCTTTCCTGCTTTTGCCTGGAAGGACAGAGAAAAGATTTACACAAGTGGCAAGACAAGAGCGGCAAGATTTACACAAGTGAGAAGATTTACACTGGCAAACCTGCCGCTTAGTTACACAAGTGCTACATGCAGCATCAGACAGTTAATTTGCCTAAAATTAAGTTCCCGCTAGCTGGTTTCTCTCTCTAAACAGCTTTGCACGGAGGCAGGTTTCCCTCAAAAATACAGATAACAATGGGGTTATTTTATTCTCACCCCAGTAAGCTACAGACAAGTAGCTCACTCAGAAGGAAAAGTTCCTGCATACAGCAGGGCCAGGATGCATCTCCCTCTCTGGAAGCTCTGGCTGAATAAAAGTTCCCAAAATTCCCACCCACCATTTTCATAGTGGCTCTGTGATGTCATCAAAATACTAACTAGCAGATCACCCGAGAACACGGAAGGGACAGCCTGCCTGCACACAGCAGTTCAATGTGAGACAAACTGAGTGCTGTTGGCATGGCAGAAAGATACAGGGCCTGAGCATATGTACAAGGACTCAGGTTGGCACCAGCTGTCATTACATTGCTTAAGGGTGTATACAGTCCACCCTGCCCCACAGCAAAAGCAGCGACTCACCTCTCTTCCTCCTCTCTGCGTCTTTCCTCTTTGACACGCTCCCTTTCTGCACTAAGCACACTTCCAGCCACTTGTCTGAGGATGTCCCCCATCACTTCAGTCACAAGTTCCTCCATGGTGGCGTCTGAGGTGCTGTGCAGAAACAGCAATTCTCTTTTCAAAACCAGAAACTTTTAATTCAAAGCCCTATGCCTGTGCTTTTCTCAAGCATACCCTTGGTCCATTGTGGTGGACTGACTCCAGCCACCAGCCAAGCACCCACACTGCTACTGACTCACGCCCCTCCCCACACCAGGACAGGGGAGAAAATAGGAAGAACAAAAGCAAGAAAACTCGTGGAGGGAGATGAAGGCATTGTAATAGGTGAAAGGAAAAAAACACACCCGCACCCCCAGCAAACAAAGCAAAGGCAGTCAGCCACCACCTCCCACAGGCAGGCCAATGTCCAGATAGTCTCCAATCAATGGCCACCCTGGAAGCCAGAAAACCCCACATTCTTCTTCCTCTAAACTAGTTTTTATTGATGACCATGACATCACATGGTATGGACTTTCGTCAGTCTGGGTCAGCTGTCCCAGCTGTCTCCCCTCCCAGCCTCCAGCACACCCCCCGCCCCAGCCTACTCACGAGGGTGCAGAGTGGGAAACAAGGAAGGCCTTGACCCTGTGCTGTTCAGCAATAACCATAACATTGGTGCATTAACAACACTGTTTTGGTCACAAACCCACATCTACAACTCTACCAACTGCCTTGGAGAGGAGGCATTATTTGAAGCAGTGAAGCAGCCAGATCTGGACTTACTCCTCTTGCCCCCCTTCAGGCACCTTCTCTTCCACAACACACATTTCTTGTGGCAGTGGTGTGTGTCATGCAAGGCAAGGTTTACAGAGGTTTGCAGTTAGTCTTCTATTAGGCTAGCTGGTGTGTAACAGAGAGGTGGCAGACATCTGAAGAAATGTCTGCTTTTCCCTCAACTGTATCAGTAAGGCTATCTCCACTACAGACCTTGCCTTGCTTAGTTTTATGATCTTCACACATGGTGCTGCTACGGCAAGTTGCAGCTTTGATGACAGACTCCAGGAGTACCAGCAATAAATGCTCTTTACCAGATGGCAGCAGTCACGTAAGCCACTCCTGCTCTGCCAACTTCTCTGCACTCTCCTTTGAGGACGTCGTGCACAAGCCCATCCACCACTTCGGCAATGTCCTACAACACAGCAGAGGAAGCAGCTGAATCAAGATGCAGTCCTGCTCAGGATGGCCTGGGCGCACATGTGAATTGGGAGTGAGGCTTTTCAGCCTCGTTTAACTGACTGTAATTGGCATCTGTATTTCTGCTTATAAATTAAGCTAACTTAATCAAACACAACAGCCTGGAAATTTTAGACTATCCAAAAGGTTAATAACAGCCCAGAAACAAAAGCAGCTTTCTGTATTAAATATGGGCAAGTCAAGTTAGAAAATAATAGCTAAGAAAAGTGAATTTTCAGAGGGATTCCTATTTTCTTGAGAGTTTCTCTCATTCTAGCTGATTTAATTCCAAATAACCAGGTCTAATCTTCACTAAAATGTAGCCACACTGAGGTAGAATATGGCAGCTGTACGTTACAAAGCAATGAGACACTCTGAGATGGGTTCAGCATTAGTACATATCTAAACGTGTGGGAGGGAGAAAAAGGGGCGGCACAGATACACAGGGTACACAGTCAAGACCCAACATTAATAGTCATATGTCCATGTCATGTCTCATTTGAAATACGTGCCATTAAGAAACAGCTCAATATTACTCATTAAAGCAAAGTTTACCTACTAAGTCAAAGATAATCACTTTCTACTATCACTTTCTGACTATCTCCATAGAGGTTTCTCAAATAAATGCTGAACAGACAGGACTGTTTATCCTATGAAGGAGTCTGAGCAAGCACTGACATTTCAGGCTTGCATCTGAAATCACTCAAGACTCTTCTCTTTTCAGAATAGTCCAAGGAAACAACTTCTCAAAATATCCAAAGAACTGAAGCAGGGAGTGTCTCCTTTTGACTCTACGTCACCGTGTTCTCAGGTGATCATGCAGATTCTGGAAAACTAAAACAACCTAAGAACTCAGTTACCTCTTATTATATTTTACAGATCTTTCCCAAATATTTCATGATGGGTTTAAATTTCCTTACTGTGTCTGTGTAGACAGGCTGAGGCTTTGAAGAGAGAGGCTCAGGTTGTCCAGCAGGTTGGGAGATTGCCTGCACAGGAGACAGCACTGGCACAAGCTGACGAGGTAACAGCGAGGGCAGAAGATGAGCCAGGGGCTGGACTCTTACTGCTGCGGCATCTAAATCCACACCTTTGCTTTCCACTCTTCCTTCTAGGGAGGTGGGGGAAGAGAAGAATTAAGGAAACCAGGTCAGTCACAAATAGAAGCAAAACTATTCTTATCTTCAAAAGCTGGCTTGTCTGATAAATCTCATCAGGTCATAAAACAAGTCTATAACAGAAGCTTGCTGCCTTAAAAAGTTAAAAATGTATCATAGGAATAGTTTATATTCATGAATATTTTATTCAAAAATTTCATTGCACGTTACCTCCAAGTACATACATTTCCAATAAAACAACTGTTTTAAGTCAAGTACACCTAGCACCTACACACACCTCTTGAATAAATGAAAAATGTATGTACTTTCAACAAGGACAAAAAAGCATACATTCAGCTAACTTGAAAAACAACATGATTATACACACAGTGGGAACAAACAGTTGCAATACAAAATCTGCAAACTGAAAAGGGAAGTTGGCTGTCTGAAGTAGCCAAATATCTAGTTATTTCACCTATGTTGGCAAAATTGTGCTCATTTCTGTTAGCGCGTTTCCTGTATTGGGAAATATATTTTATTAATCAGGTTGCTTCTTAGCTTTTACAGATACAGAAGTACATTTAAATCAAAACATGCTTTCGTTACATACAAATTTCCATGTGATTTCAACCCATATGAGCCAAGAACAGTTTCTGCTTTGTAAAATAAAACTACTCACAGAGCTGACCCTGAAGTATGTTCCTGAGCAGTATCTAAAATGCATGTTTGCTCTTACCTGTTGCTTCCATGCTGGATTTTTGGCTACCACTAGCTTGATCCACAGAGGTGCTTCCGCCAGTATACTTGTTCTGTCCATTGAAACTGGACACAGGCACGTGGTGAGGCACTAAGGGCAACGGCCCACCATTTACAACTTCCCCAACTGAGACAGTTAGCTTCTGGCTGACAAACACCGATTTACGTGGTTTAGGTAATCCGTCTGGCTCCAAGAAAGCCGAGCGATTCAGCTCCACAAAAGCACTGGGGAAAAATAAAAAAAAACAGGAGTATATCCTCAAAGCTCCAGTAACCTATATGTTTTCAGTCGGACAGCTTAGCAGGGCAAAGTGAGACAGGCACTGGGCACTCAGGATTGCTCCCTGTAGCCCGGATCTCGATCTTTGGCGGGAACCAGAGCAGGGAAGGCAGAGAGCACTGTCCTCACAGCTATCCTCCAAGGACAGAGTACAAGCTGCACTAAAATTTCTGGGCACCCTCATGGATTATTTTGTCTCCTTCTCCTTTTAACCTTTATCCACTGTGTATATTATCTGCATACATTTTACCTAGACTGCATCCCACATGATAGATGCAAAGACTACCTACAGAAGTTATTTTAAAAGCTGCG